CTCATCTTTTATATGTTTTAGCTACTTTTTTATTTATTTTTTTTAGCAAATTTGAGCTTTTATCAGCCAAATTCATATTTTTGTGATAATTTCAGCTTCTTACTGCCTTAATTCAACAAATATGTGCTCTGTTCGCCTGTGCCAATTCTACCCAATTCAGCTACTTTTTAGCTATTAGGCTAGARTCAGTGTTTTACCTATTCAACAAAAATCCTTCAGTGTTAAGCATTCACACTGCATTTAGCAGGAAATGCCAATTCTGTAGTTGACAAAGTACCTCTGGTGGTCATAAAGTTGTGGCAGGTGGTCATAATGTGGCTGGTGGACCCATTTATATAATCTGTCATCGTTCAATGTTAAAAACATTCATGTCTGAAAATGTTTTACTTTCRTCAATTCTTCAGATGTTTCTGCTCGTTTTGGTTTTTATCAACCTTAAATCTGATTATTGATCAACTTCAGGTAGATAATAGACCCCGCCCTCTGAGGAAGGGGAGGTTTTCATACCTGGTTCACGACTTCAAAGTACAGAGCCAGAGTGGTGTTTGGATCCAAACCGCAGATCTTCCACTGACACGTTCCTCCCGTCCCGATTTCCTGAAACAAAACATTAAAGTCTTTTTTTTTTGTCCTTAGAAATGAATAAAAACTACTTCCTGTCGTTATGAACACAAGAAATAAAAACCACAGCTTCAGATCCACAGTAAACACCACAGCTAGCTAAAAGCTAAATGTTAAACGTCTAGCTAGAAGCTAAAATATCAAATATTCAGTTAAAAGTTAAAAGTACCAAAAGTCTGTTTTAAAGCTAAAAGTACCAATTACCAAACATGTAGCTAAAAGTACCAAAAAAGTTAACAACGTTTTATTAGCCATCTTTAATCTAATAAAGCTAAACGAAAGCTAACAATAAATATTTCCATCATTCTTTAAAGGAATGCATAAAAAAGACAAATGTTTCCTGATCTGTTCGCTCACAGAAATGATCTTTGTTGAAGCTAATGCTAACAGACCTCTCAGAAGGTGCTTTCAGACAACAGGAACCTTCACACGGTTCCTAGAACCATTTCAGGGAGTTCCACTGGGAACTGTTCATAAGGGGGTCCTCAACAAAACCTGCTCAGGGGCCAGAATGTGGCTGAGCAGAATCTGTGGGTCTTCAGTCCCTACGAGTGTCCCAGTTCCCTTCAGGTCTGAAAACACCTTCTGAACCGAGTCCAGTTCTGGTCCATGTGTTCTATAATGAATCCAGTTCTGGTCCAGTTCTGGCCCGGGTGTTCTGCAGTGAGTCCTGACTCGTACGTTTTCAGAAACACAGGATCCTTTGGCGTTCAGAGTCACACACGGGCCGATGGCTCCACACACTTTGATCTCCCTGGATGTCTGAGGATAAAAACACAGCAGGTTTATTATTATTATTTATGTATTATTATTTATTTATTATTATTTATGTGGTCAGCTGGAGGCAGAGCGCCCACTTTCTGCGTAGCTCCGGTCGTACCTTGACCTCCAGCGTGGCGGTGAACGCCATCTTGAACGATCCCTGAACGTCTTTGGTGAAAACTCTTTGGAAGGTTTGTTTGAACAGAGACGTGTTGAAGGAGTCGGCCATCACCATGTAGCCCCTGAGACAGAGAGAGAGAGAGACAGGGACATGAAGACAGACAGACAGTGAGACGGATGCTGAGCTTGTTTGTTGTGGTAGTAGCTTAAAGTGATCCACGACTAGTTGTAACATTAGACTTTATTTGATTAACATTTATTTTAACTGTAAAATTTTTATAAATTAGCTCTATTAGCTGATTAGCTTGGCGCTAGCGCAACAAGCTAAACTGAGGTCCTCCATCCATATTTTCAGTTCCAGGCTGAGTCATTTCTACCTTCTCCTCTCTGTCAACGCTCTCTGGTTTCATTTAAAAGAGTCGATCATCAGATATTGTCCAAGATTAACCTTCAGGGTGGATATAGCTCGCTAGCAGCCTCGCACCGAGGACCTATCCACGTCATCATTTACCCAGAATGCTTTGTGTGGAAATAAAATGGCTCCGTCTGTGTTAAATTACATTTTTAAAAATTTACAAAACTGACCAGGCTACAGTATTTTTACAGTCTTTATTTTACAGTTAAAATAAATGTTTATCAAATAAAGTCTAATGTTACAACTAATCATGGATCCCTTTAAGGATCTGGGTCCGGTTAAAGGTTCTGGAAACAACAAATCCTGCCGGCGTACCCGGTGTGATTGGGGCAGCATTTCATTTCCAGCAGGCCCGTCTGATCCAGAGCGCAGGCGTAGATGTCGATGATGTGACCGTTTGAGGACGCTCTGTTGGCAAGGGTCTCAAAGTGCTGCAACACACACACACAGACACAGACACACACATGAAACCCATTTTTAAAGGGCCTGTAACATCAAATTTGTGTGATAAATGTGAATACGTTTTTGGGAAAAGAACATTGATAACATATTGCAAAACAAATTCCACAAAGTTGAGATGAACAGTTGTTGAGATATTCGCATGTGAAGGAACAGGAAGTGATGTCAAAGGGGAATGTGAATGTGAACAGAGCGATGCTACAATAATTAGAGAAGAATCTGATGTTTMTTTAGATTATTTTGAGTCATTTTCAGAGTTGAAGAGTTTAAACAATATTTTTAACAAACAAAGACCAGAGTTTCTTTTCTTACAGTTCCCCTTTGATGTCACTTCCTGTTTCACTTTGCTGAGCCAAATTCAAGAGAAAATATACCAGTTATGAGACAAAATGGGTAAAATCATGTGTATTATGCTAATTTTCTTAAATAGAAATACATTTTTTTTGTTTGTATTTGAAGTATAGGCCTGTCACAGGAACTTTAATGTTTGCAGTGTATCCAGGTTTCTCAGGTCCTACTTTGGTAGCTTTCTTCATGAACTTGGCGTTGTCCTTCTCGATGTCATGCCAGGACCTGATGGGGGTCTTCAGCTCGTCCCCCACCACCATGCCCGGCCCCTGCGTTGCCGGCCCCCCGATGAACGTCATAATCCGGGCCCCGGTGTTGGGGAAGGTGCACTGAGGACAGAATGTGTCAATCAGACTCTGTTGGACATGTCTAAGGCTCTGTCATTTCCATGATGCAGAAAAACACGGACGGAATCGTGGAATTGACCAAACAAAATGGAATCCAGCGTAAAACGCAGAATCTCATGGAATTTGCTAATTTGAGTGAGTTTCTGAGGTATTTTGGCTGCTGCTGCTCCCTGTACCTGCCGTTACCTGTTAACGGCACGCAGTGTGAGCTCTGAGCACTCCTCCTGACATGTGAGGAGGGAAAAACAAAAAGCTGCGAGCTTTGTCCGTTTTTTTGATAAATCACTGTAAACAGGGTGTCTCCATTAGTAAATGAGCTCAGAATGTATTCAGTTAGCAAGTGTGCACAAATTGTTGCTGTTCGTAGGATTTATGTTTCTTTATGACATATTTAATGTTAAGTTAAATTCTTAGATTCTGTTTTACACATAAGGAATGTTTTTTTTCTTAGTAAATAATTTTAAACACCTTTCAAAAAAATTTTAATGTTGTACTGAAATGTCGCTTTTTGTTATACATGACTCATTATATCGAAAATGAGGATTAAGTCAAATTTGGTCAAAATTAGCTTTTTCAGATTCCTGCTTTAAACGCTTCATTTTGAAACCTGGGTCATCCTGATATCATCAGTTTATCCAGAGATATGACTTCATTTGTCTTGTTGGTTATGATAATACATTACTGTTTGGTCTGAATCCTAATTTTATGTAAATTTATTCAGTAATTTTTTTATGTTAATATAAACAGTAAACATCAAATATTATTTGTATATTAAGATTTTCCAGTTGGAAAGAAACACAAACATTGTTAGCTCTCAGGGAAAAATTCTAAATTTGAAGTAAGTTTTTCTCAAAATCAGGTTTTTTGTTGCCACTACTCAAAAAAATGCTTCAAAATGTTTTTTCAGGATTATATTTCAGACAGTTCATTCAAATTATACATTAAGGCATTAATTCATTATATTTTGACAAAATTAAATTTTTGCACCTAATTAAATCAAAACCCTGTATCTGCATGTTTCTCCACTTTTGGACTTAATCCTGGTTTTGATGTGACGGCTCACGTATTAGTGAAAGTGAAATAACAAACGTTATTTTTTTTTTTATTTCTCTAGCTATTTGTTTGTTTAATTATTGTTCAGTCACTTTATAATAACACACTTTAGGTTAATAAATATGGTTTCAACGAAAATGTGGAATTAAAAGAAATTTAAAAACAGAATTTGGGAACAAATAAATCAGATTTTTTAGAGACTCCGCTCCCTCCTCACCTCCAGCAGTCCCACAGCGATGGACATGGCCACGCCCAGAGAGCGCAGGGGCCTCTTGCCCTGCGTGACGGGCCAGGGGTCCCGCTGCAGCTCGCTCAGGAGGTCGGTCAGGTTCATGTCGATCTTCTGCACCGGCTGCAGAAACCTGGAGGGACGGAGACACTGAGGACCACAGCAGGACATGTCCAACAAGAACCCGGTCCCACACCTTTACCTGTTGGACAGAGGCTGCTGGGGCGTTTGAGGTCCTCGTCCCTGAGCACCGGAGGACTTTGTAAGACCGAGCATCTCCTGTAAGAGACAGCAAAACTGTTGGACATCCAGAGACTCCAGTTTTGTCTTGTTTTAGTTCTGGATTCGTCCCCACCTGCAGCTGCTTGGCGTTCAGGTCTTTGGTCCCCCTGAAGACGTAACTTTTGGAGATCCCCTCGCAGCCCAGCTCGTGGACCTGGACCATGCGTCCGAAGGTGATGAGTCCCACCAGAGCAGTGGGGGGCAGCAGGGACAGGGACATCTGCAGGGACTCCTTCAGGGCCTGCAGGTCCTCGTCCTCCATGCAGGTGTCCACCAGGTACAGGAAGACCAGCGGCATCTGAGGGCCTCGCTGAGGGCAGAGAGCAGACCAGGTCAGACTTCTGAGGACGTGGCGGGTCCGTTACCTGTCTCGCTGTCCCTTGTGGTCTCACCTGGACCACGTATTCGATGGTGGAGAAGTGGGGCAGCAGCTCAGCGGGCTGGTTCAGCTCTGAGATCCCAGCATAGGACGGAGGAAACTGGACAGAGACAAGAGGACAGTGTTGAATCTGTCCCCCCCATCAGCTGCTGGACCTGCAGGACCTGCTGGACCTGCTGGACTCACCTGGTTCCTCTGGTAACAGAAGTTGCAGGCCCACAGCTTGGCCCTGTAGTCCACCTGGCTGTAACACAGAGACAGGAAGTCCTCAGGTAAGAGTTGTTGGACAGGTGGACAGGTGAGCGTTTAGCGAGGCCTACCAGAGGGGGTTGAGGACGGCCCGGCAGGTGGCCCGGCTGCACAGGACCGGCTCGTATTGGATCGGGGGCAGGTCGCTGCGCTCCTTCAGGGGCGTGAACAGGGCCGCCACCGGGACCACCATGCGGGTCGCCTCCAACCGGCTGGAGGGCCACACGTTCCAGCTGAAGCGGACTCCGTCACGCTCCTCGTTCTGAGCAATGTACTCTGGGAAGGTGGCCATGGCAGCGCAGGTGGGGCCGTGGCTCGGGTGGAGGCGTGGCTCGGGTGGAGGCGTGGCTCAGGTGTCACACTGTCAGGCAGAAGCTGCGGGGCGGGGAGAGGAGGCGTCAGAAAAACAAGAAACAAACAAAACGTTGCGACACACGGGTGTGATGATTTATTTTCATCAGATAAACTAAAACTTCAGCTGTTTTTTTCTTGCTTCTGCTGATTCTAGAGTTTTCTGTCTGTCCACATCCTGAGACCTTTCCTATCAGACAKTTCTGCTCCTCCTACAAAACTACACTGACCCAGAACAAAAAATACTTAAAGTGAATTTCTATAAAAACATGTGAGTGCTGAGTCAGCAAACCACTCCTCCTGTTTTAGAATCTACAGACTTTATTTTAGCTGTTCATTCATCAAAACATTCAGCTCATTCGGCCGTGACTTTTCTAACTTTTATACTTTTCAAAATGTTAAAACTTTATTTAATTAACCCTTTGTTGCAATTAGTTTTTAGCTACAATTGCCACTTTTAGCTAGCCTTTTGGAATGTTTGGCATCAAATGTTTTGTTCTTTTAGCTTCTARCTACACTTTAGTACATTTAACTTTAACAACAACAACAACAACAACAACAACAAYAAYAACAAYAATAAYAATAATAACAATAATAACAATAACAATACATTTTATTTATAAAGCGCCTTTCAGGACACCCGAGAACACTGTACAATAGTAACAAACATTTAACAAAAGGGTTGTGTGGAAGAACAAAGGTAAAGAGTACAAAACAGACATATCTTAAAGTAAAATGACCAATCAATCTTTGTTAACAGCGATAAGCTAATCTGTAAAGATGTGTCTTCAGGCCGGTCTTAAACAGKGGGACAGAGGTGGTGTTAATCCATGGGGTAGTGAGTTCCAGAGCTGTGGAGCAGAACAGCTGAAAGCTCTGCTTCCCATGGTGCTGAGGCGGGCAGTGGGTACTGAGAGTTTTAGCTAGTTTTGGTACAGTTAGATACTAGCTAAACATTTGGTAGTTTTAACTTTTAACTAAATGTTTGGTACTTTTAGCTTGGTATTTTTAACTTCTAGCTAAACATTGTATATTTTTAGCTTCTAGCTATACATTCAGTACACTTGCCTATAAGCTAGCTGTTTGGTAATTGTAGCTAAACTTCTGATAATTTTAGCTTATAACTAAACTTTTAATACATTTAGCTAAAAGATCTTCTTTTAAGTAGCATTTTGCCTCTTTTATCTTTTAGCTAGTAATCACCTCCCTTTCAAATTTAGYTAAACATGTTTCAACTTTTACATAGCGCTCAACTTTTAGTGTTCTGTTTCTTTCAGCTAGTGCTTGCCTTCAGTAGCTTTTAGCTACTGTTCTGTCTCTTTCAGCTAGTGTCCTGTTTCTTTTAGCTAGTGCTCTGCTTTATGTAGCCTTTAGCTACTGTCTTGTTTCTTTCAGCTAGTGTTCTGCTTTATGTAGCTTTTAGCTAGTGTCCTGTTTCTTTTAGTTTTTTCTTTTTTTTACTAACGTTTCAATTCCTTACACCTTTTCTTTTGGCTGGTTTTATGCTTTCAGTTAGTGTAGAGATTGTTTTAAGTGTTATTTTTT